ACTCCGACCAGCCGCGCCTTCCCCGCTCACCTGGCCCGCGCCCGGCGACCTCTGGCCGCCCCGCCCGGCGCCCCGCTGTGGCCCCACCCGGCGCCCCGCCGTGGCCACGCCCGGCGCTCCCAGTCCGCCTCGACAGGCGCCTACGCCCGAGACCTGTGCCCGTTCGCCCGCTAGGGCTCCCCCTGAGCCACTGACACAGGGGCCCCATGGCCCCAGAACGTTTTATAAAAAAAAGAAAAAAAATAAATATAAAAATATATAACTAATTAATTAATTAATTAATTACAGAAATAATTAACTTAATTAATTTTGATTAATTAAACTAAACAAATAATTAAATTAATTAAACATTAGTTATCTAATTAACCTGGTTAGTTAATTAGCTAATTAATTAGCATGACAGTGGGGCCCACCCCCTAATTAATTTTGATTAAGTTTAATTAAACTGTTTAATTAAAATGTGTCACTGACTAGTGGGACCCACTGGTCAGGTTGACCAGTCAACTCTGTTGACTGCTGACGTCAGCATGACATAATGCTGATGTCATAAAACCAAATTTCGAATTAAATTAAATAATTAATTAAATTCCAGAAATTAATAAAATCTTTAGAAAATCATATATTTTAATCCATAACTCGGATAAAATTATTTTCAACATGAAAGTTGCTCAGAACAACGAGACGAATCTGGATACGCAGGCCGTTCGTCCTCCGCGCCCCCCTAACATATCAAACATGCAACTTTCCCCCTCCGGCTCCTCTACCTGAAAACGCGAAACACCGGGGATACTTTCCTGGATGTTTCCCCCCTTCACCGGTATCACCTCATACCGCGATAGGGCACCCCTAGCACCGATACTTGTCATGTCATGCATCGCTATGCATCTGTTTGCTTAAATATTTATTGTTTCTCCCCCCTCTTCTCTCGCTAGACACCGAGACCGACCCCGCTGCTACGCAGTACGACTACGGAGTTGACGACCCCTCTCTCTTGCCAGAGCGACCAGGCAAGCCCCCCCTTTGATCACCAGATATCGCCTACTCTTCTCTATACTGCTTGCATTAGAGTAGTGTAGCATGTTACTGCTTTCCGTTATTCCTATCCTGATGCATAGCCTATCCTTGCTACTACTATTATTACCATTACCTGCTATCCTACTGCTTAGTATAGGATGCTAGCGTTCCATCAGTGGCCCTACACTCTTGTCCATCTGCCATGCTATACTACTGGGCCGTGATCACTTCGGGAGGTGATCACGGGCATATACTATATACTTTACACAGTTACATTACCTGTGGTACTGTTCGGAGTTGGGGGCTGAAGGGGCAGGTGGCTCCATCCCGATAGAGATGGGCCTGGGTTCCCGACGGCCCCCGACTATTACTTTGAGGCGGAGCGACAGGGCAGGTTGAGACCACCTAGGAGAGAGGTGGGCCTGGCCCTGGTCGGCGTTCGCAGATACTTAACACGTTTAACGAGATCTTGGTATTTGATCTGAGTCTGGCTACTGGCCTATACACACTAACCATCTACGCGGGGACAGTTATGGGCACTCGACGTCGTGGTATCAGCCGAAGCCTTCGTGACGTCAGCAACGGAGTGGCGCGCGCTGGATTGGACTGGAACGCCTACTAGGCTAGGTCTGCTTCCGGCCGCCCACGCAACGTGCAGGTGTGCTAAGGGCGATGGGCCCAGACCCCTGGGCGCTTAGGTTTAGACCGGCATGCTGACCTCTCTGTTGGTCTAGGTGGGGCTGCGACGTGTTGATCTTCCGAGGCCGGGCATGACCCAGAAAAGTGTGTCCAGCCAAATGGGATCGAGCATGTTGGGTTATGTGGTGCACCCCTGCAGGGAAGTTAATCTATTCGAATAGCCGTGATCTTCGGTAACAGGACGACTTGGAGTTGTACCTTGACCTTATGACAACTAGAACCGGATACTTAATAAAACACACCCTTCCAAGTGCCAGATACAACCGGTGATCGCTCTCTCACAGGGCGACGAGGGGAGGATCATCGGATAGGATTATGCTATACGATGCTACTTGGAGGACTTCAGTCTACTCTCTTCTACATGCTGCAAGACGGAGGCTGCCAGAAGCGTAGTCTTCGAAAGGACTAGCTATCCCCCTCTTATTCCGGCATTCTGCAGTTCAGTCCACATATGATAGCCTTATTCCAGTTGATACCAATGCATACATATGTAGTGTAGCTCCTTGCTTGCGAGTACTTTGGATGAGTACTCACGGTTGCTTTCTCCCTCTTTTCCCCATATCCCTTCTACCTGGTTGTCGCAACCAGATGCTGGAGCCCAGGAGCCAGACGCCACCGTCGACAACGACTCCTACTAGACCGGAGGTGCCTACTACTACGTGCTGCCCGCTGACGACGACCAGGAGTAGTTAGGAGGATCCCATGCAGGAGGCCTGCGCCTCTTTCGATCTGTATCCCAGTTTGTGCTAGCCTTCTTAAGGCAAACTTGTTTAACTTATGTCTGTACTCAGATATTGTTGCTTCCGCTGACTCGTCTATGATCGAGCTCTTGTATTCGAGCCTTCGAGGCCCCTGGCTTGTAATATGATGCTTGTATGACTTATTTTATTTGTAGAGTTGTGTTGTGATATCTTTCCGTGAGTCCCTGATCTTGATCGTACACGTTTGCGTGTATGTTTAGTGTACGGTCAAACCGGGGGCGTCACATTGGGCCCCTGGTAATAATGAAGAATTTGAGTATATGTCAAGAGTTTCATATTCCAGTGCCGTTGATTCTTTAATGGTGTGTTCTAGGCCTGATTTGTCATTTGCAATGAGTTTGGTCAGTCGAACATGGTAAACTGAAGGTATGCAAGATTATTCTCATGATAATCCCGCTGATATGTTGACAAAGCTACATGTTACTAAGTTTGAGCTTTGCTCAGTCTTAGTTGGTATAACTTATTAGCCCTAGTGGTTCTTTGGCGTCGAAAGTGTTTTCTTTGTTGTTCAGGGAGGAGATTCTCATTCATGCTACAAGATGGAATTTGTCTCAAAGGTGGAGTCTGTTATATTATGCTCCAAATTCAAATATAAAGAGGAAGGTTAACTTCTGACGAGCGTGCGGAGCGAGGCCCGTCGTCGGTAGGCTTGGGCCGAAGCGGAGCGTAGCGAGTCTGAAGTTAGCCCATGTGGGCCGCCGCCCATCGACAGGGACGCCTGTGGGGTGCGGGAGGGGGGAGGGCGAAGCCCCCCGCGGTACGGATCAGTATTGACCTAGATCACTTGTATTACATATACCTCTTGTAAGCCGCCGCACGTGATAAGTCGATCAGTTGTAAATCCTCGGTGTTTGTAACCTCCCCCGATATAGTGAAGTTTGGCTGGCTGGCTGACGTCCGTGTTTTTTTTCCTTCATGTTGAAGGGGGTTTTCACGCTGCTTGTTTTCGTTTTTCGTCGAGTTGATTTGCCTATCATGTCAGTAACGCTCTGCTCGAACTACGAGCGATTCCCTTCATGTCGGCAAGGAAAATCCTAAGCATGAAAGTTTTCATCATGTTCCTTTTTAGAATGGCAATTCTTCATGTTGCGGTCATGGCAAATCTCTGGAAAACGCATGAGAAATACTCTGGGGCGGAATGGGATTTTTCTGACAAACCTTTTATACAACATGACAATTTATACTTTCGAACATGACAAATCCTTATGCAACATCATGATAAATTTACCTATTTCACATGGCAATTCTGATTTTTTTTACCAAACGAAACATTCATTCATTCCACAACCGTTCACTCGGTGCCCCCCCCCCCCAAGGGAACGTCAGATGTGTAATGGCGTCCATTGATAAACTTAGATGGTCATTAATATGAATGTAGAAAAACTAAAGATACAAATCTACTTGTTTAATTTTTTTACAAATCTAGCTACATTTTTGTTGCCTAACTATTTCTATTGAAGTCAACGCAAATAATATTTTGAAGTTATTTAGTACTGCAGTAGATTTATTATTCGACTGTACAATGTTTTCGTTCTGGTATACTTTTCCTCAAGCAGATTATAGAATTAATTCAACACAATACAGTTCACCAAGTGCATACAAATCCTTAATAACATTCAGCTAACAAACATGTACCACTCTGTTCACTTCTATAAGATCTTGAAGATATTTCAGACAATGTGCAAAATAGCCTATTTTAAGTTGTTTGGAATGACTTACAAAAATGAACGGAGGGAGTAGAAAAAATAAAATAAAGTGATGCATATAACCGCATAGAGTTATCTATATCTTGTCATGCTAGTTAAAATTTGATCTGACAAGTCCTGCCGGGCACTATATTTTAAGCAAAACTGTCAAACAAAGCTTCGCCAATTTTAGAATTGTCGTACTATGCAGACTATCGATCGAGGACAATGGCATGTGGATCCAGATTTTGCGTAGCAAGTACTTGCAATCCAAGGCCTTAGCGCAGGTTACAACACAACCAAATGATTTACTGTTCTGGAAGGGGCTAACGAGGACGAAGCTATGCTCATTGAAACAACTCAAATCTCAGTTCACACAACTCGATACTTTCAAACAACCCGAAGCTCAGTTCCCAATCGGCCCAAGCGGCCATCAAGTTTATTAACAAAGAATGAACGAACCGAATATCGTAACATAAATCACATGATCTAATTGAGTATATAGTCTTGCGCTATGTGCATCGATCAGGCCGTGAGCTTTCACCATCCACTTTCGGAAAAAGACAGCCTCGCACAAAAGAGCGGAATGTATGTGCAGCTAGCTAGTACAAGGGATGTCATGGTGGGTCGTTTGCGTGGTCAGCAGCAGTGTGTGCCGCCGCTTCCCCCGGACTTAGAGCCGCCGAAGATCTGCATCACCACCGTCTGAACGCTGTCCTCCAGCCAGTCGTCCCCGCGCAGCGTCCTGCTCGCGGCCGCCATGACGCCGCAGATATGCACCAAGATCACCGCCAGCAACGCCTGCTTCGCCATCGCCGCCGCCATTCTCGTCGCGTCGTATGTACCCAGTGAAAGAGATGAGATCTCAGCTTTTGAGAGCCTCAAGATTGATTGGGCAGGTCCAGCTCGCTTGTTTGATGAAGAAATGGTTGGCACCGCGAGCTCCCTTATATAGAGAACACGCGGTGTACTATGCATGGTTTGAAGTCTTCTTCTGCAGCCGGTTCAACTTTCAAGTTGTGCGTGTTCCTGCTGGTGTTATATACATACGCAGTTACGTACATGGATTTGTTGTTTCGTGCTTGAAAAGTTTGAGCAGATTAATGAATAAGAATTCTTAGCTAGCTCGTGCGCGATTGCTTTTGACTGCGCTTTTGGTCTCCGAACGGGGGGTGACGAATTTTCTGGCATCGTACTACACATATCAGCGCTTCCCAAGTAGCGGCGCGCGGCTGCCTGCTGACCACGCTCAGTCATTGTATTATCAGGGAGAAAAAGTCCTCGAACTCGCGTCGATTAGCAGCAGGTCAAGAAGAAGCATATCTTCTCTTCTTGTTCAACGGTGAACCGGGTTGGATCGATGGATATATTAGTTCAATTTAACTGGTGAACTACAACATATGGAGGGAAGGTCGCTCGTGTCCTTGTGTGTGTACATGCCATGCTGACCCTGAACCGCGTTACGTTTACTAATTGTTGATATTTTTTAAAAAAGGAGAAATATTTCGGCCTCTGTATCTCTTGATGCACACAACTACATTATTAAAAATGCAAATTCAATAGTCGAACAACATCGACCTGAATAAAAAACGAAACAAGAGGCCTCATGCCTCGCTACAGTAACTCCACCAGATAGTCATTGACCCTATGTTACAAGACACATCAGTAACGAAAAATACACAACTCCTAAGCTACATCTTCAAGAAAGACTCACCGCATGTGCGCTGATGATGATGAATCCACCAAGGTTGAACTCCGGATTCTCATCCTCAAAGCCAAGCTTCAATCCATCACCTTTAGCAAGGACACGACATATGCGCGCGTCGACGTAACCCGATCAAAGATCTTGTGTTTCCACCGGAGTGCATAAACTCGTCGCTGAAGGTGTCCGTACCATACGTCCTTATCCTGCTACCGACGCCTCGATAGCCGGATACCTCTGGAGAAGACAACAGAAGACAACGACGTCCCATACCGCCTGCCTCACGCTACTGCCGCACCACCTCCGATCCAACAGCAACAGGCTAAACGCGACACCTCTGCCAGAGCCACCGCGCAGCTCCCGGCTGTAGCAGGCATGACTTGACGTCTCCGCATAAGACGTCGTGCGTATCATCCGCCAGTGGCGCATCTTCCGGTGTCAGGCGCTTCCCAACAACTCTGAAAGAGACGCATGTGTCACCTGTGTCGAGACGCATCGAACCCGATCTGTCGATGGAGGGGACGTCCCATACTGTAACGCCCTCGATGCGGCTATATCTCCCACGTGTCGAAGCACGACTTAGAGGCATAACCGCATTGAAAGCAATGTCGCAAGTGAGGTAATCTTCACACAACCCATGTAATACATAAGGGAAAGAGATACATAGTTGGCTTACAATCGCCACTTCATACAATACATGAATAAAGCATTACATCATCCAGATACAATCAAGGTCCGACTACGGAACCAAAATGAAAGAAGACTACCCCAAATGCTACACAGATCCCCGATCGTCCCAACTGGGCTCCACTACTGATCAACTGGAATGAAACAACACAACAGACAAAGTCTTCATCGAGCTCCTCCGGAGCTCAGTTGCGTCACCTGCTTGGTATCATCGGCACCTGCAAACTGGTTTTGAAAGTATTTGTGAGTCACGGAGACTCAGCAATCTCACACCCTCGCGATCAAGACTATTTAAGCTCATGGGTAAGGTAAATGTATGATGTGGAGCTGCAGCAAGCGACTAGCATATATGGTGGCTAACCTATTCGCAAAAGAGATCGAGAAGAGAAGGCAAAAGCACGGTCGAACAACTATGATCAAGAAGTGATCCTAGAACAACCTACATCAAACATAACTCCAACACCGTGTTCGCTTCCCGGACTCCGCCTGAAAGAGACCATCACGGTTACACACGCGGTTGATGTATTTTAATTAAGATCAACTTCAGGTTTTTTACAACCGGACATTAACAAATTCCCATCTGCCCATAACCGCGGGCACGACTTTCGAAAGTTCAAATCCCTGCAGGGGTGTTCCAACTTAGCCCATCACAAGCTCTCACGGTCAACGAAGGATATTCCTTCTAGCGGGAAGACCCGATCAGACTCGGAATCCCGGTTACAAGACATCCTCGACAATGGTAAAACAAGTCCAGCAACACCGCCCGAATGTGCCGACAAATCACGAAAGGAGCTGCACATATCTCGTTCTCAGGGCACACTCAGATGAGACATCCTACGAGTAAAACCAACCCTCAAGTTGCCCCG